GTGATTCGCTGAGACCCGTTTGATGTGAGAGGAGAGAGAGAGAAAAAAAAAGATGTAGATGTTAGCTGAATTATCTTAACCTCAGATCCTATCCCTACCTACCTTTCCAAATTCCCTCTCCATTTATCAGATTGAAGATGGTCCATTTTAGAGGTAAGTGCCGTTTGACAACTGGTAATTGCATGAATACCCGTGGCAAAGTTCTCCTGGTCCAAGCAGGAAAGGTCACAGTCATCCGTGCGTTGCCTCATGGCGTACACCTTCCCACCTAACTGTTGTCACCTAAAGGGTCTCCCGTCCGGTGTACAAGTGCACCTGACCTCGTCCTAGTTATGTTGTAGACCACTCACCAGCCACAGAAAGGGTAGAAAGGTAAAAAATAAAAAAAAACACTAGCAGAGAAGATAAATGCCAGATAATAGCAGGATGGCCACAGATTTTCTCACTTATATGTCCGCTTCAGTCACCATCTTGCGCACGCGCCTCCTTAAGGTATTTAATATGGCTTTTCCAAAGTTATGTCTACGGTTGTACATGTAGATTAGTCTGGTTATATTCCCTTTCGTTCTATGGCAGTAAATATTAGACAGATATTTTTAAATGTACAGCTTCGACAGATAACAGCCGTAGACCTGTTTATCATTGGATGTTGCTATGGTATTCAACCGCATTGAATGGCCCTACTTGTGGTCGGTGCTGGAGGCATTTGGTTTGGTCCCAAAACTCTGCTCCTAAGGCGTGCATTCAAATCAATAACTGTATGTCTTAATCATTTAATCTCCACAGAGAGACAAGGCAGGGATGCCCACTGTTTTCCCCTCCTTTTTGCACTGGCAGTGGAGTCCTTGGCTACTGCAGTAAGACAGCCCCGAAATGTAGTGGGGTTCTAGAGGGGTGGTAACGAGGATAAAATTGCATAATGCCGATTATGGTGATTGTGATGGCGCTGAGGGATTATGGGTGGAGTTATACATTGGTGTGCATAATGCAAAAGTAATTGTTGGCGTTTGTTTCAGGCTCCCAAGTATTAATGAAAAGGGTAGAGACTCAGCTCCTTAAACACATCGAAAGGATTGCAAGGGCAGGAACAGTTGTATTAATAGGAGATTTTAACTATCCTGACATTGACTGGCATAATGACACTGCTGGAACAGAAAAAAGGCGGACTTTTATAAACTTATTGCAAGACAATTTTATGGTACAGTATGTAGAAGCCCCAACTAGAAATGATGCTCTGCTGGATCTAGAAATCTAAAACAATGCAGAGCTTATTGCAAATGTTCATATAAAAGAACATCTGGTAGCAGTGACCATACTATGATTTTATTTAACTTAAGTTGTAAACAACACACACATACTGGAAAAAATAACAACACAACTTCAGGAGAGCAAATGTTCCCATGCTGAGGGCTGCTCTTCAAGACTTAAAATAGGTGGTGATATTGGCATCAAAAAGCACAGAACAGAAATGGGAGTGCTTCAAATCAATTGTTTACAAACATACTGCAAAATATATTCCTGTAAGCAATCAGTTTAAAAGGCTCACACCCAATGTAAAAAAAAACAAAAAGCATAAGAAAAGGGCATTTAAAAATATAAAAATGAAGGAACACTGCCGTCATTCGAAAGTTACAAAGAACATAAAATATGCAAAAAATAAATAATCACAAAGATTCAAAATGAACGACAAAAAGGTGCAAGACAAACCCCCAAAAATATATTAACAGTAAAAAGATCAGTTCTGAGCAACTGTGGACAAAGAGAAGGCAAATCTATTACTTTCTTCAGCTATGTGTACACTAAGGAACAAGACGGAACCCAAGTCCATAATGGGGATGGCGGTGCCACAGCCTCTAATAAACCCCAATGGCTCACAATTGATATGGTCCGGAAACAGACAACATTAGAGTGAACAAAGCACCTGGACCGGATGGCTTCCAGGTGTCCTCAAACAATCGAGCTGCATAATTTTGAAGCCATTGTATCTACTTTTAAGAGACTCAAATGACTGGCATGGTACCAATGGATTGGTGCAAGGCCAATGTGCATACAATTAAAAAGGGATCAAAGTATTTACCAATATTATAAGCGATGGTGAGCATGGATTCATAAAAGACAGAAGTTGTCAAACAAATCTACTTTCTTTTTATGGGGAAGTAAGCAATACATTAGACAAAGGAATGACTATGGATCAGTGGCGTAACCAGAGTTCTGGGCGCCCGGGGCAGAATTTTTTTTTCGTCCCCCCCCCCATTATATAAACAACCACTGGAACTGTACCCTGCACCTCCCCCCCACACACACGTTTTTATTTTAAAAATTTCGGGGATGAAAGGAATCACGGCCGCACCGGCAAAACGGCAGGAAAATGTCACTTTCGGCATTTAGCCGAAAATGCCATTTTCGGCCGGCGCCCCCCCTTCACTTTTCGCCCGGGGCCGTGCCCCTGCTGCACCCCCGGTTGTTATGCCACTGCTATGGATATAGTATACTTGGACTTTGCAAAAGTGTTTGACAGTTCCCCACATGTGGCTAATGTATAAGTTAAAGGTATAGAGCATTCAGTCTGTAATTGGATAGAAAGCTGGTATTCAAAGAGTGGTAATCAATGATTCACACTCTGAATGGTCTGAGGTTGTATGTGGTGTCCCCCAAGGTTCAGTGTCGGGTCTCTTATTGTTTAATCTATGAATAAATTATATACAGTTGGGGATTATAAGTACAATTTCTGTGTTTGCAGATGACACCAAGCTATGTAGTGGAATACAGTCCGTACAGGATGTCTTCAAAATACAAGCCGACCTGAATACAGTTTGATTGGGCATCTATTTGGCAAATGGGGTTTAATGTTGATAAATGTAAGGTTATGCATTTGGGGACTAAAAACATGCATGCTTGATACACTCTAGGGGGAGTAATGATGGAGAAAGATTTGGGTGTTCTGGTAGACCATAGACTCAATAATAGCATGCAATGTCAAGCCTCAGTTTCTAAATCGGGAGAGAGAGAGAATATGAATATCCTGCCCCTGTACAAAGCGTCAGTATGATGTTATGGAACTGGAGAAAGTGCATAGAAGGGCAACTAAACTGATAAGAGGCATGGAAGAGCACAGCTATGAGGAAAGATTATCTGAACTGAATTTGTTTGCTCTTGAGATATTCAATATTGAGTTGGTCCACCCTCTGCAGCTATAACAGCTTCAACTCTTCTGGGAAGGCTGTCTACAAGGTTTAGGCGTGTGTCTGTGGGAATGTTTGACCATTCTTCCAGAAGCTCATTTGTGAGGTCAGGACTCTGTGCAGGCCAGTCACGCACCTCCACCCTAAACTCGCTCATCCATGTCTTTATGGACCTTGCTTTGTGCCCTGGTGCGCAGTCATGTTGGAACAGGAAGGGGCCACCCCCTTGTTTGGAGGTCTGCAGCTATTGACTCTGCAGACAGTTGGCGACTTCTGTGCACTTCAGCATGCGCTGACCCCTGTCATTTTACGTGGCCTACCACTTCATGGCTGAGTTGCTGCTGTTCCCAGTTGCTTCCACTTTGTTATAATACCACTTGACTGTGGAATATTTAGTAGCAAGGAAATTTCACAGATGGACTTATTGCACAGGTGGCAACCTATCATGGTACCATGCTTGAATTTACTGAACTCCTGAGAGCGACCCATTCTTTCACAAATGTGTGTAGAAGCAGTCTGCATGCCTAGGTGCTTGATTTTATACACCTGCGGCCAAGGAGGTAATTGGAACACCTGAATTCAATGATTTGGAGGGGTGTCCCAACACTTTTGGCAATATAGTGTATCTACTAGCTTGGAGAAGGGAAGGAAGGGAGGGAGGAGAGCAGGGCCCAGGGAAATGGCCTTGCTGTACCTGTGTATTTGTGGATACACAGGCACAGCAGAAATAAAAAATGGTCACTCGCACTCCAAAATGAATTCAGTCAATCAATTTATTGACACTGGTGAAAACACCTCTATGCAACATTTCGGGACCAGACGGCCCTTTCTGTTTGCCTGAGGAAGGTGCCGTCTAGTCCCGAAACGTTGCTTAGAGGTGTTTTCACCAGTGTCAATAAATTGATTGACTGAATTCGTTTTGGAGTGCAAGTGACCATTTTTTATTCTTATACGTTTACGGAGGCACCCGTTGTTACTACTGCACCCACCCTGCTACATTGGGTACTTTCCGGTCAGGAGTGCGATGGGAGAAATGGATTCTTGATTGTGTATTTGTGGAGACACACAGCTTACTGGCACACACAAAAGGGTTGCTCCATAGGACCCTGCAAGGGAAAGGAGCCACCCCACAACAGGGTATCAGGGCCAGGGATGAGGGGGACCAGCTGATTATCCAGCAGCAAAAACTTTAAAAAAATCAAAAAGAGGAATCCATTGTAGTGATTTAATCAACATTTGAAATAGCCAAAAAAGCTTTTGACTTTAATATCCCTTTAACCTATAACCACCAACATACTGGTCGGTGCAGGTTCTAGGTTGTCTTTAACGTGTATTTTTGCTTTTTTGCCAAATTGGGATAACACCTATTTTATATTGTTACATGTTCCTGTTCACATAGCAGAA